GGCTTTCTAAACAAATCCAGCAAAACAACGCCGCTAGAGAAAACCGAGAGAATAGCCAGAAGGAAAACAGGCTCTCGGTTTTCTCTGAGAACAACAAAATCAGTAAGTGAATTTAACAAAACAGTGCCTCTGAGATTTAGTTTTAAAATATTAAAGCAACCAAAGCATGCAAAAGCTTTGCAAAGATAAGCTTGCACACAAGTGACTAAAACCTTTTTTCTGGCAAAGCAACAATGTGCCAAATAATACAGTTTTACCTAATGACAGTCAAAATATTTATTGTGCCAGTGGAGAAAACCTGAATGGAGACGTGTAACAATTTCCCAGAACACATATTGCTAGTTTTCAGTTGGGCTGCGAGCTACTAGTGTGATTTTGTTTTGTTTTTTGCAGAAGTGGGATCAAGACACAGACCTCCTCCACGCAGAGATCTCACCATTGTAAGAATATACCCAGTGGTGATTCTGTATATCTGAAGATAGCTTTCAGTGGCTTAATAAATAAATAAGGTTTTCACCAGTGCAACCTTTATGTGTGCCCTCTCACATCCCACAGCCACGTGGTACAAACTTACCCAAGCCACCCGTCGCTCCCCAAGTTGAGGAAGAGTTCTACACCATAGCAGACTTTCAGACCACCATCCCTGATGGAATCAGCTTCCAAGCTGGAGTCAAAGTTGAGGTGGGTTAGACACGGCCTAAAGTTTTGCTCCTCTGAATTAAGGAAAATGGTTTTTCACTAACATTTGGTTTAAACTACATTGATACATTCTAGGTGATTGAAAAGAATGCAAGTGGTTGGTGGTACATCCAGATCGATGACAAAGAAGGCTGGGCACCTGCCACTTTTATTGACAAGTACAAGAAGACCAGCAATGCCTTGCGACCCAATTTCCTCGCCCCGTTGCCCAATGAGATGGAGAAGCTGAGGCTGGAGGATGGTGGTTGTTCGAATGTTTCAGGTACAGATGACAACTGGTCCAAGCCTTTACCAGATGAGCCAAATGCAGCCTCTGAGTCCTCTACGCGCCCTAAGCTCAGAGATTGGAAGTCCAATGCCAGCAAGGGGCCCTCTTTCTCTGGGCCTTTGCCCCCAGCCCCAACTGCACCTCCCGCTGAGGAGAAACCTGCTCTGCCGCCTCGAAGAGAGTCTATTAATAAGAGCTTTGAATTGGAGGTAGCAGAGAAATCGAGGTCAGATAACTCCAAACCTTTGCCTCCAAAACCCCCAGCTCCTGGGGTCATCGTGCCACTGGTTACACCTAAACCTCCCCCCTTCAAATCAGACAAACCCCCAGAGACCAAGAAAGATGAAAAGAGCAAAGCTCTTCACCTTCGAAATGAGATGGGTCTTGAATGTGGCCACAAGATCTCTGCCAAAGAGGTGAAGAAGTTTAATCTGAAACCTGTGCCTAAACAGCCACCAAAACCCAAGCCAGAATCACAGGAGGAGAAAACCGAGGCACCGGGCCCAGCTGTGTTTATGAAGGCAAAGCCAGTGGTCCGACCTAAACCCGTTACAGCTGCCAAGCCAGATCCCCCAGGGGAGAACAAAGTAGACATCACCAACTTGAGAAGCAAGTTGAGACCATCTAAGCCGGCAGATGCTAGCTCAACAGAGGTGAACCATCAGAATGACGCCTCGCCAGCAGTAAATAGTTCCCACACAAGTTCACCCCCTAGCTCTCCTCCAGTGAGCATCCCACCTCTGAATAACGGTAAGTATTCTAATGAGCCAAAACTTCCACCAAAACACATCAGTGGTCATGGCCAGGAGAGCTCATCGCCTCTTGCAAAACCAGCAGTGCCTCCCCACAAGGAACCCCCTCAGAGACCGCCGGCCACGGTTCCAAAAAGACCACCCCCTCCAAAGAAAACTGATCCATCAAGTCCAACTGAACTTAAATCTCCACCAACTCTTAAAGAAACCCAGGACGTTCCCAAGGCTGGACCACCACAGCTCAGCAGACCACCTCCCCCAAAACCCAAAGGGTTTCAGGCACCAGCAAGCAAAGAGAAGGAAGAGCCCAAGGTGAATAAAGTCCCAATTCCTCCAAAGCCCCAGCTGAAGCCTGGGCCACCCAAGGATAGGCTTCCACCTTTACTCAAGGAGCCCAGCAAGGATGAGCTGTATCTTGCTGTGGCAGACTTTGAAGGGGATGAGCAAACATCCAGCTTCAAGGTGGGCACAGTGTTTGAGGTTCTGGAAAAAAACAGCAGTGGCTGGTGGTTCTGTAAAAACGTAGGAGAAGAAGTCGAGAGCTGGATCCCCTCGAATTACCTGAGCAAGAAACCTTAGGAAGTAAATGTGCTCGCACACATCGCCATATGAACATATAAGTAACTTAATGATCTAAATGAACAAGATCTCACTAATTTCTTGCTACTTAGCCTGTTTTGTTTTTTGTTTTTTTTTAATTTATAGGTACATTTTTTTTATTGACACATTTTGTTTTGTTTCATTTTTATACAAATATTTTACCTACCAACTGAACCAGCAATAACACATGACCTTGTTGGGTTTTGTAATGTTTACTTTTTTTGTTTTATGTCAACTATATATGAAATCTTAGGTTAAAAAAAAAAAAAAAGTATCTTGCCTTTGCTGCCGTATGTTAGTCACCGTGTCAGTCTCGCCATTTCTCGGGCTAGAAACTAGAAGAGCAGTAAATGTATCTACACCCTTGCCTTTTAATATATGGTGCCTCAATATTATATGCGAAGTGCTTCAGCGCTTATTAAATGGTATGCAATGGTAGACATAGTCCTTGTTGGAGTCTTGGAGTCATTTTACTATAAAATCAAGAATCGCATTATACATTGCAAGAGTACAGAGTAGACGTTTAAATTAACTCACTGGGGGAGTTCATTGACTACATCTGAACTTTCAAGCGCTAATAGTTGGTTATCTCTTTGCCCAGTGCTGTTTGTTACCTTGGAGACGTGCATATTAGCGTTTCTGTGTTGTATTGCTTTTATTCTGACTGCATAATTAATGTTGCAACGAATTGTAACAGATGTGCACTTTCAGTCATTTCAGCTGAAGTTTAAGGTTTGCACACACTGAAAGAAAGGGGAGAATGCCACGGTGCATTTAGTTTTATAAGCCATTTTCAGACTGCTTTCTTTATTTGTGTTATCCTCACTGTAGCAAAGAGGCTATATTATCCAAACTGAGAAGGCAAGAAGGGTCTATATATCAAAGTATTTTAACATAACTGTTCTCAGAGCCATCAGTGGGATTTGCAAAATGTGAACGGCAGAGCACATCTGCCTATCTGACATAGCAATTGAATACCTACAGTCATTTGTGCAATGATTTACAGTATTGTAAATGTACAATCTGTTCGTAACCGAAGTGTGGTGCTCCGATAACAAAGTATGACCGTTGTATAAGAATAATGTTTTACATTGACGCTTGACTGGTCTCAAGTATGGTCGGTGAAACAAATTATTTTTTATTGTACAGAAATGAGTCATATCTTAACTATTGTCACTTTTTTTTGATGTTCCATCTATTTTATCCCCCTCTGTGCTGATCAAAGGGTTAGAAGAAGAAAGTTTCAAGAAGGTATTTGGTTGTTGATTTGGTTGATGATAGGATTTAAGTAATTAAGGAAAGGTTTGGGGAAACAACTGGCTGGTAATCTAACAATTGGTCCATATCTCAAGTGTTTACAAAGTACCAATTGTCTGACACTAAAAAAATAAATCTGTTCATAGTTATGAAGATAATTAGACAAGGCTGCAAGCTTTATAACACTAATTCTGTTCTGCTTGTAGTTGCTATAATGTTATACCATCTTCCAATCATACCAAAGTATGTTACCAACTTTAAAAAAAAAAAATCCTAAAGGGAAAGGACAGAAGTACAATGCAAGGCAAGTGTATAGGGGTTATTTCAGTATTGTAAACTGTTTACTTTTTTGCTATGTGTTTTCATTACAGTATCTGCTTTTGCTTTAAGTCAATAAAAGTTTTGTGATTTTTCACTTCAGATGCCCCACTGCTTCCACTCAGTGTTTAGCGTTTGATTTATTTGGGTTGTAGTTCCTTCAGAACTGCTTAAATTCTTCATTGCACAAATTCTCAGAGATTTTGATCTGTGTCGACATGGTAACATCAGTCATACTTCAGATTTGTCAGCTTCACATCTGTGATGTGAATCTCCCATCGCAAAATGCCATCTACTGATTTGAGATCTGGTGATTGTCGAGGGATTTTCCTGTTCAAGAAACCCTCACCACTATGTGTCAGACAGTATGGATCCATGATTTTGTGGTGTTTAGACCAAGTTTTGTAGCATAATTGAGACTCCTTACAGCAGACAATGTTCCTTCAATCTTCTAAATCTGTGTGAATTGTAGCCTCAGTTTTCTGTTTTCAGCTGGTGTGCTCTTCTGCTGCAGTAACCTATTTGTTTCAAGGTTACATGTCTGAGCTACTGTTGCTCTATCAGCTCAAAGGAGTCTGGCCATTCTCTCACCTCTGGCATCAGCTGGGCATTTTCTCCCAGAGTACTGCCGCTCACTGGATATTGTCCTCTGTCCACTCTGTAAATGCTAGAGATGGTTGCATGGGAGATTATATGCTACCATGTGATTGGCTAATTAAACATTTGGATTTACAAGCAATTGAACATTTGTATCCAATGAAGTGCGTGGTGAGTGTAACAAACTGGAATGTTCTCGCTTCAGTTCCTCCAGCTTTAGCACTGCTGCAATGAATGACTGAATTTGCTATACTATCTAACATAAGTTACATAAAAACATCCTGTATATAGTCACACTCCTGCGTTCTCCACAATACTTTCTTTTTAATAACCTTTCCTTGTGTGTGTGTTTATATATAGAGGAGTTGACACTGGATTTTTAATCCCACAAATCTTTTTTTAACCAACTGTTTAAAAAAAAAAAAAAATTATATCATCTGACAGTCTTGATGCGTTTTCCAGTAGAACAGGTGGTATCATGTTACAAAGAATCTCCACAACAATCCAGCAATTATAAAATCTGCATTTATTTACAACAGTGGTTCCTTCTGAAAAAAAATTTATTCATACAGTCCCTCCACACAAATAATGTTATGTAAACTAAGGCAGAGAGTCAGAGATACAGAGCCAGTAAACGGTAAGAAAAGAATTGTAAATGTAAATACTTCTGATATAAGAGAGATTAAGCTGTACCTGATTGTGGACCTGATTCAGTGTAAATCTGCAGGCCAACTGCAGTTAGCTGATGCAAACTGCTCCAATAAAACCGCTCCTCACTCAAGAAATGATGATTTTGAGCTGCAAACTTTAAGTAGAAAATTAAACAGCTAGAGGCATCTTACAGCAGACTGAATTGTTGCATCCCCTTAAAATGATGTGAAGAACTATTGTGTAAAAACCTAAATTATTGCTATTGAATACCTAAAAATTATAAAATGGTTAAATCACTCTTAACCAAAGGCTTTTATTCACCTCCCAAAAAAAGTTAACATATATATTTTTGGGTTTAAGCTCTTCATGTTATTCTTGCTCTCAGTGCAAAGGAAGGCAAAGTTTAAGAAAAATAAACCTCTGTAAGCTTAGCAAAAACATATAATATTGCACATTGGTTAGCATTTACTGCATGTTGCATAACAATTCAAATTTAACTCCCCTCTATAACATCCTGAAAGAAAAACAAAACAAAAAAAAAAACCAAACAGCTCTGGCTTTGTCAGTTCCCATCCAGTGTGACTGATTTCTACAGTAATGATACAACAGAAAAAATAACTGAGCAATACTGAAAAAAAAACAACAAAACTTGAGTTCCCTTATTAGTTAACAACGAAATCTTAAAAGAAACCATTAAATTCAAAGATACATTGCATTCAGCCTTATCCCTCATTTAAAACAAAAAAGACACAAAATCATCACATCCTTCATTCCATGATTAAAAGACAAAGTAAATCAAAACTATATAGGGGTAAGCTGTATAATGTTCTTTGAGTAAAAATAAATAAAGGCAAACTTTGGCAGCAAAGGCAAAGTAAGGCACAGAGAACAGGAAATAAAAAAATAAAAAAAAAAGATTCAGTAAATCAAAACATTTCTAGAGGAGTTTTTGGTCTTATTTGAAAGATAACCTTGAAAAATTAAGGTAAGCAAGTACTCATTTACTAGGTCGTTAATATTTATAGCATTCCTTGTTATCGTGGAAAAAATGATCTCTGGCTGGGTGCTTTGGAAAAAAACAAAAAACCTGTTGCCTAATCATAAGGTGGTTTTTCTGAATATTTAATCATTAAAACAGATAATTTGGTATCTTCAGCTCACCCCAATAAATGGCCTTTGTATCACATTATTGAGAAATCTGAAGCATGCTTGAAAAGAAAAAGAAAGCAAACACTGTATGGGAGTAGATATTATGTCAGGGTGTCTAATGACGCACATCAGAACATGAATAAAAACATAAATATTTACTAAAACAATAAAGAAACCTAATGGAAGGATCAGTATTCTGCCATTACTGGTAAAGCAAGAGAAAAAAAAAGAAGGCCAGCAGGCAATGGTACCAGTGGGTGTGTATACATTAGTGGGCAGAAGATAATATTGTGTAATGTCACAGCATCTGTTCTCATGTGGTAGTCTCATCTTGATACGGCATAAATTTGGAGACTCTGTTGGGAGAACTGGGGTTTGGACAGTCGGAACTCTCACTCATCCTGAAGAAAGCCTCCTGCTCCCTTTTCCTGGCATTCAGTTCATCTTCAAGGGCCTGGGAATGTAAAATGCACAAGTTTACCTCACAAAGATGTAAACTTTTGCAATGTGAACAAAGTAGAAAACAGAGCACTAAAATCATGAATTATTTGATATATCAACGTTCCTGTTATATGATTGGGAAAGCAGTTATTACATTGTGTCTTGTACATTTAAGTACTTAACTACTACTTTGCTTATTGAATTGCATGGCTACAGCAAAATATGTTATAAGAATGAGCCTGGAACCAGAAAAGTGGAGCTCAGAATGAAAACACTCTCAAAACACCCGAGCAAAAATACCGTAACCATAAATGTTTTACAATTGTTTGCATTTATTACAACTTTAGTAAGAATAAGGGCATTTTTTTATCTTTATCTCAATTCACACCGAGCACATTTCAGTGTGTTTTTGATGAAAATTCCCAGTAAGCCTGCTCTTAAAAATATAGAAATTACTATGATGATAGTATTTTGGGAGTATCTGAGCCACAAAATAGACTCCAATACATTTTTGTTTGTAAGAAATTGTGAGTGGAGACAACATACCTTCTTTTTGGGCTTCAGTTGTTCCCTCCAGTCCTTCATCATATAATTGTGTTGCTCATCCAACATTTTGAGCCTCTGAGTCTCATTCTCAATCAACAGGTGACATTTTTCATTCTGCAGCAGAAAATGTGCTTGTTAAGCAATGTGGGCTAGTTATTATGTTCATTAAGTGTCCTCTATATTCTTTGGAAAAAAAAAAAACTACAAATAGATTTGTAATAAAAATGTTTTATTAAATTTGCCCTCACTCACCTGTAGCTGCAGCAGCTCTCTGATATTGCTTTCACACTGACCAGTCATCTCCCTCATCTGGTTCTCGTGCTTCTGCTGCTGATGCAGCCTCTCCGCCTTCTGCCGCTTCTCCTCCTGCTGAGAAAACTGGAGAGCCACGCATGGAGAAAGTTAATAAATAGTTAACTGAATGTGTGAATATGGAGTAAGAAAGCTCCTCTGTCTCACCAGTTTGATCTTCTCCTTGTCCTCTGCAGCACTGCCCGATGAGGTAATGCGAAGGCTCTTTTTGAACATGGTCATTCGAGTCTTTGACTCACTGCGCTGAATCTTAGGCAGTCGGCTCTTCTCCAGCTGCTGGTTAGTTTTCAGGATCTCAACCATTCGCTGATTGTAACTCTGCATCTGTTCCTTTTCCTGCAGGAAAAAACAACAACACAGAATTGGTTAACTTGATTTTGTCATGTAATCATGATTTAGGTGTTACCAAGTTGTGTGTGCAAACTTATTGTGGCAAGATGATATCCACTAGTGTACCTTCTCATGCTTTTTGAGAAGCTGATGCCTCTGGAGGAAGTACTGATCTTTCATCTGCTGCTTCACCAACTGATGTTTCTCATAAAGGTTCTTCTGCTCCATGTCCCACATCGTATTTTCACGCTCTAATCAAATTTAAAAAGTTGACACTGAATGAAATCAAATGGTAACTACAGCAAGGATGGGATAAACACAAAATGAAGAAAACAAAGCTGAAATTGTTACTGTGATTCTGTTTGCTTTACGGATGTTGTACCTCTGATTAGGCTTTGCTTCTTGTTAAGACAATCCCTCTCCAGGTCTGCAATCTCTCTCTTGTTGTTGGAAATGATATTCCTCAGTGTGATGTGCAGATAGTTTTTCTGAGCTACAAGGAATTTCTCTTCCTAAACAAAGGAGAAGGAGGAGAAATTGAGGAGTGGGTGAATAATCAGACAAAAATCAGCAGTTTCATGCAGGTGCCGTTTCCCTTCAAACAATCTACACATGCCAATTACCAGAAGCCTGCAACCAACATAACTCAACTGAGAAGCATGCCATCAGTGTTTACATCTAGTCTATTTCCTGGTAGATGTATACTTCTATTTGCAGTGATAAAGTTGGTTAGTAGTTTGATAGCAAAAGAATAGTTCTTAGATATAGCAGCCATTTAACCAGGTTCATTGTTTCTGAAAAAGGAGCTTTCTCCAGTGCATTCAACATATTTTTTATGATCACGTCACAATTGTAAATATTTCCAAAACTGAGCAACTTGCACCACCAAAGCAATATAGACTGAAAAATAATACTAAATTTAAGAGTTTAAAAAAAAATAAATTTGTTTTAACTGAGCTGTAATTATGCATCAAAATGGCACAAATGACCTAGCATCATACCTCTGACATCTTCATTTCTTGGAAGGAATTCATCTTCTGTTTTAAGGTTTCTTTACGCTGACTTCTGGGCAGCTTATCAACAGATTGTTTTACCTAAAAAGAAAATACACTTCAGTAATTAAACCTCAGACATCAGAACTTCAGAAAGGTATACAAAAATCAACACAGCTGTGCAGTCGCCGAGGTTGAGCACTGAAAGCTTCCTTTGACTTGCACCCTTTCTTTATGTCCTATTGAGATCAAGTGGGCTTAAATAAAGGCAAGAATATGTGAAATAATTACTGGTTATTTTGCTTAGGTGCACACACACACACACACACACTTTACCTCCTTTTTCTTTAGTTTTATTTGGTCCAGGAATTTGTGATAGTCTCGTTCCTGTTCTGCTTTGATACGCCTGGTTTCTTCTTTCAGTTTAACTTTGTGTTCTTCCTCCATTTTCTCAATTGCCTGCTTCTGGTTCCTCTCCAGATTCTCCAGCTCTGTATCAAAGTGCTTCTTCTTGGTCTAGGACACACCAACAGGAGATATGCACATTATAATTTTAGCTGATGGCAAACAAGGAAAATGTTCCTAGTTCAAAAGTTTATTGCAACTGAAACCATCCCGATTTCAGAGTGTTTTGCATATTTGTCACACTTACATGTTTCAGATCGTCAAACAAATTTTAATATTAGATAAAGATAAGCCAAGTAAATACAAAATGCAGGTTTTAAAGGATTTCATTCATTTATTAAGGGAGAAAAGTTATCCAAACCTGCCTGGTCCTGTGTGAAAAAGTAAAAAAGTAATTGCCCTTTGACCTTCTTAAATCATGATTAACTGTGATTAACCACATTTTTTGGAAAATACTCTGGAGTGACGAGACAAAAGGTTTGAGTTCCATTACATCTGGCATAAAACCAACAAAGCATTTTACATCCTACCAACAGTAATATATGATTATAGTGTGACGGTCTGGGGCCGTTTTTCTGCCTCAGGACCAAAACATCCTGAAGGAGCATGTGTGGCCATCTGTTTGTGACCTCAAACTGAAGCACACTTGGGTTCTGCAGCAGAACAATGATCCAAAACACACCAGCAAGTCCACTTCTGAATGGCTTAGGAAAAACAAAAAGCTTGTTTTTCTTGAAGACTTTGTTGTGGTCTTGTCAAATTTCTGGTCTGAATCCGATTGAGATGCTGTGGCACGACCTTTAAAAGGAGGTTCATGCTCAAAAACCGCAATGTGGCAAAATTACAACAATTCTGCAAAGGTGATTACTCCACAGTACTGTAAAAGACTCACTGCTAGTTATTGGAAATGCTTGATTTTTGTTGTTGATGCTAAGGGTGGCTCAACAGTTATTAGGTTTAGTAAACAATCACTCCCCCCCCCCACACAGGGCCATGTAGGTTTGCATTTTTCCCCCTTAATAATAAAACACCTTCATTTAGAAACTTCATTTTGTGCTTTCATATGGTATATTTGTCTACTATTTAAATTTGTTTGATGACCTGAAACATTTAAGTGTGACAAAAATACATACGACCATAGAATTAATGCAACAACTGTCTGACTAAGTTTTAGCTAAAGACGAAAATGCTGTTGTTAAAGCTGTTAGAGTAATGTGACTCACATTCATCTCCTGGTCAAAACGTCTTTGTATTTGTTCCCTTTGTGTTTCGAGTTTGGCATTCAGAGCAGCCAGGGCTCGCTGCTCTTCCTTCTGCAACAGACGGAGCTCGCGCAGCTCCTGCCGCCTACAAAAAAAACAAAACAAATGTATGTATGTATGTAGCTAAGGACACCTAAAATAAATGAAACTATGTCAGGTAAGATCTACTATAACTGGTAGCAAAATAACACAAGTGCTTAAATTACAGGTTAGAACTTTATCACAGGTTAGATCAGGCCACGGCAGCAGAAAAGTAATGAATAAGAGAGTAGAATAAATTGAGCTTACTTTATAATAAAAACTATGTTTATGCTGGCAGACCACTAACAACACTCTGAATGGTGCAAACCCAATGGAAGCAAAAGAAGATGCAATTTTTGTTCAGCACCGAGTTTCTGAAGATTATTTTCACCAAATTTAAACTAAGAATGATATCGAAATATTACTGCAGCCATAGGTGCAATATCATAGTCCCACCACTAGATGGCAGGAGTAAAACACAGGAACTCACTATGCTTCAGAGGAAGTACAGAAATCAGTTGTTTCAAATGCCAAATACAGATCACCTGAACTTTGACTTAACGAATAAGTAATTTCAGAAATTAAATTTTCCTCTCAGACCAGAGACCAAATTACACTTTTTCCAATAACAGTTCTAATCTCAAGGGACTAAATTCCCAAAGAGCAGGATGACTTAAATAGTAAGAACTAAAACATAAAACAAAAATAAATAAGTCCCAATCCAGTGTTCACTGTGTCCTGAGAACACAAGAGTCCATGCCTCTCATTTAGAGTGAATGAAAAATGGCTTAGCTACCAGGGAATAATAAGATCACCCACATACCTGAGGAATCTCATCTCCTCATCTTTCTTCTCATCGTCACTGATGATCTTGGAGGTGGTCACACTCACCTCCACACCGTCAACAACAAACTTTCTGGTCCGCCTCAGAGTCTTATCTGAAAAGTTCTGATAGGTAGACAAAAACACAGAAAAGTCTGGTTTTAAACTCAGAATTGAACCTTTTTTCATGTACTTTGAGTTTAAATGCTGTTTTTTTTAGTAGTTAAAAGGTCAGTACTACCAGATTCTTTCACTTCCATAGCATAATTAGACTCTCGCAATAGACAGGTTTTCTTTTTGTGTGTGAAAAACAATTTGCAACTTTACTTGTAAAATCTCTGTGCTTATATCAGCCGCAATATAATTTAGTCACAGAGTTGTTTTGTGACTCTTGTGTACTGTGACTGTAAGGAACTACAAACACCCCAATATCGCCCCCCCCCCCAAAAAAAATCTTCAGATCACTCACAGAAACTATTTTCATGCAAATTCCTACGAATTAACTTCAAATATTTCAAATGTGTCAAGGTTCATCTGTAGTGTAGTCTTTATCTGTTAAAGGAGAGGCTGAGTAAGTATGTATGACAGTGTGTATGTTTACATGGCACTAATATCCTGTATGGCAGGTTCTACTGTAACAAGAAGCAAGATGCTGATCCGTTAGCATAATGGAGAGCGCCATGGAGGTAGTAACAACATCGTATACCAAATATGGCACCATGTGACTTGACTTCTCAACCTTCTTCAACAAGAATACTGGTTAAAGGCCTTCTTTATCCAGACTTGTGGATCTTCACATTGTCCGAAAGGACATTTCTAGACATTCACCCACAGAGCAGATGACCTTTTTCTTAGCCAACGAAGGTTTGTTCAAGTTTGCTCTAGCTCAAAAAGCACAAATCAGGCAGTTCAACCAAACAATGTGCGATGATGTAAACACACATTTCCTTTCAGTCAGTGCATGAGCCATAGCGTATTGTAATTGCAATGCAAAACTGTCACGGTTAACTGGAGCATGTGTAACTGAGAAGTTACGCCTTCTTTGTCCCCTGTCCAAGTCATCCTCCAGGGACAATATTTGCAAAATGATATGAAAAGGTTTACTCAGCAAACACTGGGAAGTTCTGAATGTCGTCACTTCCTGGTGTATAAATAGCTCATATATAATGAAGAGGAGATGAGACCAGAGAAGTAAAGAGAGCGTGAACGCAAGACAGAAGGTATGAAGACAGTAAGAGAAAATCCCAATACTCTCAAAGTTATTTGTGCTTCAATTAAAATAAAAATGAATACAAAACTAAAACAAAAAGCTAATGACAGTTTTGCTTTCACTGTTACATAGTGAATAAGAAGTTATCGCAACTCTTCCTCTTGAGAGAATGATACAGATCTGCCTTGAAATTAAAAAAAAAAGAATGATTTTATTACAAAAAGTAAATCAGAATTATTTTATGTAAACAATTAAGTTTGTTTTATCTTTTAATGTAACAGGGACTTTCTTGTTTGAAGTACTTGTCTTAGATGTAGGCGAGCAGTTTTTTTTTTGTTTGCTTTTTGTATTGTCGGCTTATTTCTGGTCTTTTCTCCATTTTGTTCGAAGAAAACAAAACAATTGGCTGAAGATTTTAAAAAAGAAAAAAAAGAGTAAATATATTAGCACAAAAGGACCCTAGGAAGGTGTTCCCCACTCAGAGGGAATTATTTTGGTTTGCACAAACTGCTGTTCGCCATAACAAAGCTTCCCCATGAAGCCAACACAGCTGAGCAAACACGCTCCATATGAATCTGTGTGAGGCTCCTGTCATAGCTGGCAGCTACCGGATGCTAATGTTGCACTGCTCAGTACTGTTGAATCATTTTCTGCGTAACTGACACACTAACGATGACAATAAGTCTATGTGCTTGTGTGTTCTGGTGTGTTATTAATCGCACATTTACACCAAGATGAAAGAATATATATTCATCACTCTGCATTTCAGCTGTGGCGTTTATGTTTGAGTTCATCTGTGACTGTGCTGACTCCCTGTCACTCTTCATTCACACAAAAACAAAAAGAGTAAACAAACAAAAGAAAAAACACATGTAGCTCTCACACACACCCCATGGATTTATAAGTGCATGTGCACACTGATGTTTGCACTCATTCTCTCATGCAGAAACATAGAAATCATATTAAAAAAACAACAAAAAAACCCCAAGAAAATAATAAAAAGAAAAAAGCTTATAGGCAGACTCGTCTGGTAAATAATCTATTATTTAAAAAAAAAAAAACCCTGACATGTCGAACAGCCATGACTCCACACCCAGTTAATAGGATTTTAATCATGGTCAGTCCATAAGCCTCCAGAAGCAACTCACTGACAATGGGCTGCATAGAAATTTCCACTCACAATAGTGAATGCTGAACTGTGCCCACACAAAGGCCACCACTGGTCTAGATGAACTGAAAGTGTTGCATATTTGGCTTCTCTTTCCCAACGTCTAGCCTCCCAATCGTCTCACTTACAAGGACTGTCAGACATGGATTTGGTGATTCTTAAGCAGAGACAACCTACTATCCTTTTTCAAGCTGGTAAATCAAATAAATAGTCATTTTGGAGATGCCCCAATATGCTTTGTCACCAATTCAGTCCAAACTTGAGAAATAAATCCCAGCAAACCTCAGTCAATAAAAAAAGTTACTTAAGTCCTCATGAATGTAAAACTTTGAGTTTCCCTAAGTGCAATGTGCGTGCAAACCTAATGGGAGACAGGCAATATTCTGTGTCAAACTCCCACACCCTAAAACGACACAATGCTGTTTCAGTTCCGCTATGAGTGCAAAGAAACACTTCTTTTTTTCCCCCCAGGAGGGGTTTTCCTACAGAGCTGCCCTCTGTACATCTTTAACACTTGAGCACTGGTTTTGCCATAAAGATATGTTCTGCAAAAACACTTTAGAGAATGAGGGATCTATCTTCTCTGACCATTCCTTTCTGGCATTTTAAAAAGTTTGAGTAAATGAATCATATGAAAATTCCTTTAAGTACAGAAAGCTTTGATCTGTGTTGGCTCACCCGTGCACTAATGGATGTGTTCTCCCTGTGGACAGACAAATCCATGCTCTCAGATGCCATGCTGCCTGAATAGGACAACTGCTCAATAATCCCTCCATTGAGATAAGATGAACCAGGATCAGCGTTTGCTCCCATTGGTTTCTTCTCAGGGGAATCCTCTATTAGGCTGCCGTTTGCTACCTGGGTGGGAGCAGAGGAAGATGCAGGCGAAGGTACAGGAATCGAAACACCACTTGAAGTTGGCAATTCTCCATTAGCTGGGATCTTGGGGACCTCTGGTTCTGTTGAACCTATAAAGTTTATCGTACATTCCTCAGATCTCTCAGATTCCATATCAAAGAGAGATGGTGGCTGTTCTGTCTCTGGGGTGTCTCCGGCAACCTAGAACAATGATTTTAGTATTAATACTAAAACTAAATAAATAATCCCACTTCATAAATATACACGAGCAGAACAACTTTCAAAAAATACCTTTTCCTCCTCAAGTGTGGGTGTACTCTTCCCATCCTCAATACCAGAGTCTGAGAAGGTAGTCTTGGTTGAGGACTCACTCTCAGATTTCTCAGACTCTGATTTCTCAAGGATTTCACCCATTTTGTCTCCCACCTCATCTGGATCTTTCTTATGGACATTCTGCCGTGGCAGGGGTACAGGGACTGCCATGGTGGAGCCTGGTTCTTCCTCTGTTGATGTATCTGGCTGGTTCAGCTTCCTGGGGAATGGTACTGGTGCAGGTGAAGAAGGTGTGGTAGGGCTTGGGGTGTCCGGGGGCTGGTCACCTTCCAAACTGGTCTGACTAGTCTGGCATGGCTCCTTGGCTGAGGACTAAAGGAACAGAGAAGTGCTGTTAGGCACTGGTGTGACAAAACATTTCATGTTCGTAAGACATTAAGTCATGGGTGGTCTCCAAAATGTTAATGTTTTCAACCTTTGCTTCTGGTCCAAACACTAATGGGGAAAAAAAACATTCAGGCCGTCCACCTTTTTGCTAAGTAACTTCAATCTTTGCTTTAGTATGAATGCAGTCATTCCTGTTTTATACTTGCACATTGCTACTTTTAAGTGTGGCTTAGATAGCTATCTAATCTGCAATGGCGAGGTAATAATTACAGAGGTGAAAAACCTGCGTAAGTCAGGACAGACTGCCAGGACCTGAGAGTTAATGGCATTATCATTATCATTGCTATTATGAAAATCTTGATGCGAAATAATTCAGTGTGCACTCTTTCATTTTTGCATACAGCAGTGCGTTAAATGTATTTTATTATGCAGACAAAGCTGCACTTTACGGTGTCAAAAGTATGTGAAACACCTGCAAATATGCTGCAAAACCAAAACCCAAGACTAACAATCTTAGATAAATTATATTACTGCAGTTAGCATGTACACAGGTAAGGGAATTACATCTCAGAAGCACCCTATCAAATCAGACTAGGAAAAAAAACCCAGCTGGCGTCATACACAGAGAAATAATAACACAAAGTAAGATTTTAAGCAAACCATCTCGTTCAAGTACCATGAAATGTGGACCAGTGTACTTTGGCAGCATTTTAAAGGGTGGTCACACAGATCATTGATTTGATTTAGTTACTTTATATAAAGATAGCTGATTCATCACACCTGCTTTTAAATAACTTTCCTTTCAATGATTAATGTACAACAAGGTGCATAAAGAAGACCTCCTACAGAAAGCTATTCCAAATACCTGTCCAGGTAAGACACTGTTCAATTGTCTAGATGAGAGTGTTTACTGTTCCACCATTTTCCACCAATTTGCACCATCAGTATACTAGAGTCACCCAAATAAAATAAAATAAAATAAAATAAAATAAAAAAGACCCTTGAATGCCACAACATGTACAATAAGGAAGTACAATGTAAAAGGCCATTTGTCTTCATAGAGAAAGGACAAAAATGTATGAAAACATTTGTCTGATTACAGCATTTGTAAGAGTATTTCAAGGATCCTATAAAGACCTGCTATTGCTATGTAGAAATCCCCATGTTTTTGATTAAGGGTCAGAGTATCTTGGCTGAACAATAAGCAACCTAAAATAATTTACTCCTTTAGGGATTATGAGGCAATAGCTGTTTCTACAGGCCAAAAGCAGCACCTATATTTAACCATGTGCGGGTGTGGGTGAATGCCTGTTTTCCGTCTTCTGTTCCTTTGTTTGTGCTCAGGGCAGGCAGCAAAATGCACTTTCATCCTATGTTTCTGTCTAATCTCCAGTTCTCTGTGAATTCATGAATGACTTCAGTGGAATAAACCATCAATCCTTCTGCAGAAAGGCTATATTTAGCAAAATATGCTTTAAGAGGAGGTCAACGAGTCAGGACTACAAACGTGAGGCTCGGTGGTTAAGAAGGAACCTACGTGCTGGGGAACACATGCAGGTAAATGCACGCCTTTTTGTCATTATGTGTGCAAGTTGCAACTTAATTACACAGTCTGGACACTGAAATTAAGGGTAATTTCCATCTCACTGTGTGGTCTGACAGGAAAATGAGGAACGTCACAGAAATGCATTTACTTGTAAAGTCAATACCACTTCTACGTCAAAATGCATCCATTTTCTGTGCCATTATTATGTTTTTAATTTAAATCACAACATTAATAAATTAAACCAATTGAATGGAAGAGCATGGACTGCCCACTCTTGTTTTCGAAACACCAAAATAAAAAGGACAATGATAATGAACAGGTTTGGTACCACAGTAAGGTCCATGCCCTCGTCTTCCTCTCCTTCCTCTCTATTGTCTTCAATTTCCTCCATGACTTCAGCCTTGACCTCAGCCACCAGCTCTCTCAGCGGACGGTTGGTCGTCACCGATTTCACAAAAGGGTGCTGTAGATAGGAGAAGAGACAGTTATTAAGGCTGATCAGAAATTTATTTTAGGGATAAATACTATAAACACTACGCATTTAGTTATTGCCTAAGAGTGAGGCTGACTAAAAGGCTTACAACCATGAAGCAATATTTGCACAAAACACAAGAACAGTATTTTCCACAGGTTTAAATAATTAGCAGATGACACCATTCTGCAACATCTCAACTTTCAATGATATCAATTTCTTTTCAAATAATCTGTAAAACTTTAAAATACAAAATGATGGATCAAGTGAAATAAAATTCTGGTGCTTAAAAACGATACACTAAATGGAACCGGAGTAGAAGACAAGACAACATACTTTCACTGCTGGGAAACTCTATCTGACACCTGCCAGTTCCTGCGCAGCATTAACAATGGGAACATCACAATACAACTCTCCACTTGAGGCAACAGTTTATTCTAACAGAATGCACCTAAAATAGCAACCAGTCTTCAACTCTACTATGTCTAAAAAGAAAATGCATGTTTCCCCGTGCTTCAAGTAAGGCAATAAGAACGCTGTAACAGGAATATAAAAAAGGCAAATTAAAAGTTGAGTGCTGCAAGGATAAAAAGCTGATCATCTATTATTTAGATGCTTTGCACTCCTGTGTAATTTAACTGGAACAGCTGACAAAGGGGAAAAGTCTGCAAGGGGTGCTGGACCATGAAGTGTGTAGAAGTCAGTGTGTGTTGTGAGCCTCCACAGTTGTAGGTTCAGGAGCTTGCTTGTCCTTGAGGACAGCATTACGCTTGAGTTTTAAGCTTCTCCAATGACAAATAACAGTCAGCTATTGCCTAATGAGATGTACACAAATGAGTTCCATTTGACTATTTGTGAGGCAAAATATGAATGCATGGATAAGTTGTATGCTTAAATGCATAGTGTCTACATTTGGATGTCATGATTCTTTCTATGTCAGCCCATTTTATGGCATCAATTGACAACATGAGCAACATAAGAGAGTTTTTAAATCTCAAACTATTGCTGCACAGCCAGCCCTTTTTGATTTAGTGATTTTTGTAAGAAGAACATCAACATGACTGATGCAGCAACGCTGGTTAATTAAAGACAAACTTCAACTGAAATGGCTCCGATTTCAGCAACCACACGGCCACATCCTCTGTAATCAGCCAACAGATTTATCTTAAAGCCATGTAAACCTGTGGCGTAAACAAGGTCACATGAACATATGGTGATGGCAGTGAATGCTTCAATAATAATTCAGTTTGTCATGTTTGGTAGAGGCAGTGCTGCAATAAATGCATGTTTAAAAGTGAAAGGAGCTAAAATAAACTCAACTTCTGTTTCCACTATCTCAATTCGAAAATTGCAGAGAGAGGCTTTTTGGAAGTAAAATTTCAGACATGTTTTAGATTTACATTAAGCCTAAGCAAGGTGAAACATTGGAGAAAAGAGTTTTAATGTGAGAAGCACTACATTAGAATTACTCCAATTCTGAGAGAAAATAAGGCATCTTATTCTTTTGACATGTTACACATCCAACAAGGTTGGGAACTGGCAACTAATTTCATAATCAACACATGGTTGTTGCTTTCTAATTAAATTAGAGAACTATGAGAAATGTCCAGTTACAAATTCATGAAACCCACAGAAATATCAAAACATCTTTATATCAACTGCTTTAACTAAGAATCCAAAATTTCTGATTTAAAAATGTTTCTCAAATGTTAACAAAATCAAAACTAACTTATAAAGCCATAAAAACGACTTGAAATAAATTCCATTATGTCAATTATCTAATCATTGTTGCTTTAGTAAAGCTCTTTATTTCATTTGAATGCCTACTGAAGATTATAAAAGATATTTTTCTCCCATTGCCATAGAACTTATATGAGGAATGAGTATGAGTAGCTAGTAACTAAAAAAGTAGGAGTAACTGTAGCGTCAAGCACCTACAGCAGTAAACCTCTGAGAAATCTGCTTTAAGCTGTATAATCCAATAAATTATACCAGACCTCCCATACTCCAGGTAAACACATCCTCACTGAGGCAAAACACAGGGCAAAAAGACTAAGTGTTAGCACTGGTGCCTTGTTACACAGATATAGATGTGTATCAGTGGATATATGCACCATTTTATAGGTTTCGCATTGCTTTAGACAGAGAGGGGGGAGATTTGGTGCGCATGGCTTTGTATAAAGATTAAATGTGCACAATATGGACCATTAGGTGACTAGAAGAGAAACCTGCAAAAAGGTCAGGTGTACATGCACAGGAATAAAAATAAAGTGTATGCTTTTGTCCCTCCATCTTTATGGACAGTTTTAGATCTTGAATGATGTAAATTTAACTAGTTATAAAATTTTCATTTTTGAAGGAGGGTTTGGCAGTTAAGACGGTTTTTAGGGTTAGGACTTTAATAAGTTAAGTTAGGGGTAAGAATTTTACTGGGCAAGGTGCAATTTTGGTACTCAACTGACTTGACTTTTATTAACCCAAATTTAGTACTTTAGGACAGATTTCTGTCTCAAAGAAGTTGTTTGCAGAATTAGAAGATTACACTTTTGTTTAAGATATACTCTATGAAGTTTAGACAACCAAGATTAACTCAAAGTTCAAAATGTGCTACATTGTTCTACTTCAGAAATGTTTATATGCTTTCCAGGGCAGCTCTGCTAAAAACACCATAAAAACCCTGCACATGAGAAACTATGGGAGGAGACGCTGGATTCAATATAATACTAGTCATCCAGACGGTCTCCCGGCCAGCCACACACCCACAGTGACTGATACTGTGTCATGTTTTTTTGTATACATTCCTTACAGCCGCATATGTGGGACAGACGCAGAGTAATTATGGCAAAAAAAGGGAAGAGGTTAAAAAGATGTTTATAACCAATTCTTGTTTCCTGTGAAAAGCTTAGTGACAAAGACTTTGCAAAGCTTTATTTTTATATCCCTTATTTAGTCTATCCAGCACCAGGGATATTTTTTCTGACTTTTTTATTCACCTGTATTTTTCCACATCTGCTCACTTCACCCTAAAGCCTGTAACATATCTGACGGTAACTGCCGGCAAAGTGACATGATGCAACATCCATCACAAAGCCTCAATCTGACCACGCCCACAAGTGCCTACAGCTGTTAGGAGGCAGTGGACATGATAAACATCTAAAACTTGCAGCACAGCACCAAAAACTGGGCCGCGCCTGTCTCTTTCCCTCCCCACTAGAGAACACATGGAGAATTCCCTGCAGGCCTGACTAGGGTTTTCATCTTTGCCTCGCTCTAATTGGCCAAAGGTGGCAAACTCAAGTTAATCCTGGCACACCATTGGCTGAGAGCAGGAATGTAAATAGCTGGCAGCTCCTCAGCTATGGGATGCAGACAGGAAACTGTGGCTCTGAATTTTAATAGACATTGCTCTTGTTCTGTAATCCACACCCTGCTCATGGCTTTGCTCATTCTACTGGCTCTGAAATCTAGAGTCTGATTGAAGCTCGTCTTTAGATATTTGCATTTCATTGCCACAACTTAGAATTACCATATGATGATGCCTTTAATAATCAAACAGCTGCTTAGAACCATGTCTGCCCAGGATCATATGTATAGTGAAGTCTATAAAAGGCATCAAATAAGCTTGCTGACGAATACAAAATATGGTCAGAATCTGAATTCTGTTTCTGAGATGAATAATGTCGAAAACATTTTTGTAGGGTAATATTTTTTTTTGAGGGTAGGGTGGGGGCATTCGCGAAGAGGCCAAAGCTTCTTATTTCTTTTGTCCTTCCCATCTAAACCTTCAAGGATATTTTATGATAGTGTCTTTATTCAGGATCCTTTACCATTACATTTTGGCTACTGCACATTTTCTACCTAATAATTTTTCACTTTTACACTATCAATTTCTTATAAAGCGTTTCATTTTCACCTGCATGCCTGTGCCCGCCATGGAACACCAACCTGGCACAGATCACTGTATTCAGGTCTTAAAATAGAAGATTAAACTGATCTGTGTGTGTGTGTGTGTGTGTGTGTGTGTGTGTGTGTGTGTGTGTGTGTGTGTCAGTACAAGACAAAGACAGAGTATGATGTTCCATTGTATGTCAAAGTGCAGCACTGTATAATATTCACTACTATTCAGTTACACACAGCATCAAGCCTACCTCCAACATTTGAGCTGCAGTTGGGCGAGTCTCTGGGTTTTTATCCAAACATTTCCGCAGGAAGTCATTAAATGCCTGTGACCTTGAGTAAATAAAAGAGAAAAGAAGTAGTGAAGTGAAGAAACAGTTAAAACAAAAAAATAATTTTAAGTAACATTTCCAACCATTTTAGACCATCTTTGTACGCAGCTTTGTTGTGCAAAAAAAAAAAAAAAAAAAAAAAAAAAAAAAAAAAAAAAAAGGTCTCAGCAGGAACAATGAATCAGCGGCCCTTTCTAAATCTCCCTCTACCTGATAACTTCACTTTCACAGTAATAAATTCACTGCTACAGCGCATTTAATCTCATTAAAGAAAAGGTAGAAAAAAATTACAGTTTGGCACTCATTTAAGTGCAGCCTCTGCTGGAAAATGGTTGGCATGTGGAAAAAGGGAAGGACAATTTGATGCATGACTGTCTAGAGCAGATTACAGTATACCAAGTGTGCAAAGTACTTGGAAGTGATTGAAATTAAATGACTTGTTGAAATCTAGACAGGGAAATAAAAGTCCCCGTTGACTCCACTTGCCATTTTCTATCGTGTAGCTTATGAATCATGGAGGCAGGTTTCAAACTCCCCACTTTCTGGTTAACAAATTCCTCTTCGCAGCCTGTACATATTATGCTAGACGGTTGCAGGCCAAATGTGCAACAGCTGAATTCAGATTCTCACCATTTCTTTGGCTGCTCCAGGCTAGGAGGCTCAGACTTTGCGATCTTTAATAGCACCCTCATGGGATTGAGCTCGTGGTGTGGGGGTTCAATCTGCGCAAGCTCGATCAGAGTGATTCCCAAAGACCAGATGTCGGCCTTGTAGTCATATGGTGCATCCTTCATTGTCTCACACATGACCACCTCTGGAGCCATCCTGAGACAGATAAATAAGGTTAAACATTAAAGATTGTGGCATGCAAACTCCTCCACAAACGCATCACATGGTTCAGCACATAAATACTCTGTTGACTAAAAACATGCAGCTCCCCATGGGTTAAAAAAATAAATAAATAAATAAAATAACAAAGAATCTAAAATAACCATCAAGATGTAATTAAGTAATAACACATACATAAATGTAATATAAATAAGATACAAATTTTGACTAAGTGTAGTCAAAAAAGTAGCATTTTAGATTAAGTTTTTTTCCCTGATCCGATCAGGACTGTACACAGTTATGATTTAATTGAGCTGGGATGGTGGGGATGAATGATAACCTGTTCTAGTAAATGTTTAACTGTCATATTGGTATAAAGGAAGGCTCAATGGAACAAGGTTCGCTGGGAATCATTTCTAATTTGGAGGAGCACTATTTGACAAGAATGAAGGATTGTAATGAATACTGACTGTATGCACAGTATCATTTTCTCTCAGGTATTAAGTGCTGTGAGCAGTCAAAAAGGGTTGACCCACTAATTTTAAAGTTCATAGATGATATCTTCACAAGTGCTATGTATATGAATTATATTAAAGTAAACATTTAATATAGTTGTTTTGCATAACAGCAATAGATTTACAGATAATGTTGCAAATCAGGGAGCAGGATTGTTATATGATAATATGGGATTTAGAAAAAGTAGAGTGTAATTTATATAGTCATTGAAGGCATTGAATGTAGCGTACTAAGCCAACCCCCCACCCCCAGTGTTGCTGACTGAAACTGTAAACTTACCAGTATGGTGTTCCAATGAAAGAATCTCTTCTTTGCAACGTTTTGGTATTTTTTGCAGACACACCAAAGTCAGCTGCATGAAAAAAAGAAAAACGAAAAGAAAAGTCACGTGATGGAGGAAAGACGTTCACTAGCATTTCACAGAAGGAAGGAATGAAACCAATTCAAAAACTTCCGGCTTTTTTTTTTTTTTTTCACAACCACGCCCATGAGGTAGACAAATACTTTTTAGCTTGTAAAGCCATCCTGACTGTGTGATCTTTGGAGTTACAAATCCAGAAACAGTAAATTTATAGCAGTCCTATTTCCTTAAAAAAGTTGCCAGATTTCCAGATTACAGGGGTCTTGTTTTCACTTTAGTTTTTTCCTCCCGCCTGTCAGAAGGAATATCATGTGTACCATGCCGGGGTTAGAGAAGTGCTTGGCAGTAGCGCTTAGATTTTGCACACAAGGCAGCAGGGTCACATCTTCAATTACAAACTGGCATGTTCTATTATGGGTTCTTAAATGACTTTTGGTTTTGTAGACTGCAATTCAAAATCTTTGGCTTCACTGTCAAATGCATCACTTGAAACAGTCTGAGCTTTTGCAGCAAGGATTTCTACATCTCAGAGACATTGAAATTAAGCAGTCCTTTTATTTTACATTGAATAAGAGTTAACACTATGTTTTTGGTAAAAACAACACAAAACAGATTAAATAGTTGTTCATTACCTACAACAGGGCTCTCATTATGTTCTACACTTCCAGGAACTAGTGCACAATAGCAGGTTTTAGCAGGAGTCCCAAAAGAACAGAAGTAATGTTAGTGGCAACCTCTATGCTTTTATCTTTTACCACTTCAATTATGCCCATTAGTCAGAGTTTATACTCATCAAATTCGAGGGTCTAAGTGTCAGATGCTGCTTGCTGCCTCTTGAAGCCAATTTCTGAGTTTTTCCTTTGTTCCCGCTGCCGCATGTCTACTACATTAGGGTCCAAGATTAACATCACTAATTCAGTATTCGACAAAATATGTAATATGCTCATCTTCCATTACAGTGCTGAACAATGTTTTCTTTGCATAACATTTTGATAGCAAAATGAAGTAGACCATTGACTTTAGAATTTATTATGACCCAAATAATTATTACATGAGATCACATTGACCTTTAAACGTCAAATTCTAATCAGTTGATCCCTGGGTCTAAGCCTATTTTAAAGACACGTCTCAAGGATTTCCTGATGAGAATAAAATTACAAAATTGTGATGGGAGACAGATGTAATCACTGACTCACAAGCCCTCACTGTTCACAGGTTATCATCATCATCAAAAACTGAATTGAAATCCACTGAGAACGACAAATGTGACGTTGTGTTTGAGAAAAATCTGTGTGAAGGTCATCACTGTAGCAAGTCACTTTAAATTCTGACCAGTACTGTAGGGAGTTGTAGCGATTCTTGTGAATTGACGGACAAACGATGGATACAACAACATGGCATAACCGGATTGGCAAATCGTATAGGCTAAAAATAATGTTTCCTTCATGACGATAGCAGGAAGGCATGATACCTCTGATCCAATATTCATTTGCTTTTGTTTTTATCGTTACCTGGATACAGCAACGGGAATTATGAGCAATTTTTTTTTGCCATCATCAACAATTCTTGGCACTGGTCACAACTGCTGTAAATAAGTTCGTAAAAATCATTAAAGACTTTTTTTAATCCAAAAAAGAACTGCATGAATGCTTCATGAAGATCAGACATTTTAGCTGACCTCAAAGATAGTTTAATTGCTGTCTTGTTTGAATTAACATGTATTTAGATAAGTTTGAAGACCGTAAATGAGTCCATGTCATGACATAATGGGTTTACAGAGGCAACTCCCAGTGATTATAGGCAACTGTGGTGGAGCTGGAGAAGAATGTAAGCAGGAAAGATTCTTGGCATGCAGCTTAATGAGCACACTTTTTGACAAAAATGTGTCATATGAATTTCTTTTTTTTTGGTCTTAGCTCAGTAAAAATGATCAGAGAGTCAATCAGAGTAAAGAAGGTAAAACATCACGCCACAAACAGTTATCTAAAGTTTCATATCTGAGGATCCTAAATGTTATGCAATCATTTAGACAATTCAGCACTTGCTTACCTGGCACTTAGACAAAGCACTGCACTAGAACACAACACTTCAATCTAAAACAAACTAGAGTGTGGATCCAACTTTTGTCGTCCAGCCATAAAATTTGAAGAATGTGAGGAACGCTTCAAAAAGCCAATAAATGAATAAAAATATGCAATGTTCTCAGATCACAGTTTTCCCACACAGTGCTTGCGATTCGCTGACAGCAGCAAAGGAGGAGTGCAGGACCTCTTACTGTGCATGTTATGTGTGGCATGCATTTATGTCAAAGAAACAATGAACCTAAAGATTAGCCAAGACCCCAGAAATAACCTTCAATAATCAATGTGAATGATACATTAATCTGGGAATTAGTCCCACAATAATTAATTTAGCAGTAAAATGCAACAGTTGAAATTCACAAATGTTTTTTAAGAGGTTAAAAAACTGCTCGAGTCAAATAAGAAAAGCAACCAATACTTTGTATTAGTCTGTACTATATTTTCTGCCTGAATATCAAATAAAATCTCAGTTTTCAAAACAGTACTGCAGTTTTCTGACTGTTCATACAAATGTGGTTGCAAAAACAAAACATCATTTTGTCCACCTTGATGCCTCTATAATAAAAAAAATGATCAATGCATTACACTCTGCTAGAAATGAAAAACCTGAACATCACAACATCTAAAACTAAACACTTACCCAGTTTGATGTCACCATCCAGCATTAGGAGGATGTTACCAGCCTTCAGGTCTCTGTGGATGATCTTCAATCCATGGAGGTAGTCTAGCGCCTCCAACATCTGGCGACAAACTACCTGAATCTGGGGCTCTGTCAGCCCCCGATCCAACTCTGATATGGGCAGGAGAGGAGGAGAGGTTAGAGCAACAGAGACGGAACACTGCATCCTTGTAATTCATACAATCATGGCAAAATAAAGAGTACAGAGCTACCGTGTGAGCTCCATGAGAAAAAAAAAAACAACACTAAACCCACCATAGCAGATCAGGTAGTATTACCCGATAAGTAATCCCAGATTAGAAAAACCTTCACACATCCAAGATAATCCTGCCCTGTAGACTTCGTTTCATCTCTGTCTGTGTTTGGTTAGCTGCAGATGGGGTGCAGGCAGTTACGAGGATGTGGATTACCCAGTGAAAACACCAGGGGGATTTCCCACACAGGAGGACTCCACTATGTCTGACTGTTTCAAGGCTTCAAGGTCAAATTAATAAAGCTGTAGTATGATGCTGTTTTTCAGGATTTTCTGCCTGATAAATTTGAGATTTTTAAATACATATACGGTCATGAAAGCTAAGAACTAATTTTGACTTAAAAAAAAAAATTAAAAAGACAAAAAAATAAAAACACTCTCTGAGGTTTGGAAACCAACTGTTGTTGTAAAGGAAAAAGATTTTTAAATGAAAATACAGAGACAGAATGGCCTACCTAGCATGGCGGCATCCACAGCGCCTCCAGGGCAGAACTCAATCATGATCTGGGGGGGGAAGAGAAACTGGTGTTAAACTTAACCCAGGAATTATAAGTAATAAAACTGAAAGCTGAAAAACAGTCAGTGAAAGTCTGTGTTTCATGAGTTTGAACTTAGCTGTTGATGAAGCTTTTAATGTGTCTGTGATAGCAGAGACATCAATATACTTTAAGATGAAGGATTTTCAGTGGGACATAAAAGCAGAAAATCTAAATTTATATCAGAAGTGTGTCCTTCCTGTTAAATTATGTCATCACTACCTGTAGAGGAAAAACTGCCAAACACACATCAGTTCAGCAGTAAAGTAAAAGAAAAGGCAGATGGAGGAGGTAAAAACTGAAGAGGTTTCCTAAATGGAGTCTTATTAGCCATGTCCTCAAACACACCTATTAGATAGAAAACCATAGTAAGATTGAACTTCTTTCACAGCACATACTTCATTTATAATTATGTTTTGATTCCAAAATTGAACTCTTGGTACTACGAAGCATACCTGCTGTGTGATCTCATTTTATTTTTTACAATCATCAGTCTTTCTTGCTATGACAACACTGCCAAAGCATCAGCCAGGCGCTGGACAAGGCGTGGAGTTTCAGCCCAGACAAACCCGCACAATGAATGACAAATACCAAAAGGTGAAACCACACCATTGCACGTCTGACGGTATGAAACTATGCATACCTCTGTGTACACGCGGTCACGTGAAGGCGCACATACTTTGCAAAGAATCAGAATATGAGGGCTGCCATTCTTGGCATTGAACACCAGGTGGAACAATGCTCTTCTGTCACGCTGACAAACTTCATTAGTTTGGGCTCTGCCATGTGTCATCAGCGATCTTCCATTTTGCTTAGTCTGTTTAAAAGTTAGTCTCATATCAGATTTTTAGTTTTTTTAAATAAACAGCTGAAAGACTGTCTGGCCTGTGTATGACGCATGTTTCCAGCTTTTATATCTTTGAACTAGATCGAAGCTTTACCACGTGTTTAAGTTGTTTTACAGTAGCTAAAAACCTGTTTTAAGATTCCACTGTTTGATCAACAAAGAAGAAACAGAAATCTAACATAGGTCAGGTTTAGCATTTTATTCTTCAAGTAAGAAGATTATTAAGGAAAAAGAGTTTCGCACACACTTCAAAAATTAACATTTCCTGTTGATATGCATCCTTCCACCATTATGATCTGTAAAAGTTAAATAAGAACAGAATGTATTATTTTAAAATGTGTACCAACTGATGTGCAGTTTCTTCCCATCAATATTATCAGTATATATACACTCTGAAAATATTTTGTTTATTCTACATATTCTCAACACTACAGAGGGTGGTTAATCACACCTTTTATTACAAACCACATCCCTGTTCCTGCTCACCACTGCCCATTTTTTTCACTTCTGTTTAAAAACCACTCTCCAAGTTAAACGAACTGCACTTTAGTGGTAGCACAAAGCGCTGGCCAAACTAAACAGCTGTACATTACTCTGCTGTGACAGAGGCAACTGGTTTGTGTAGTCATCAGTGTGTCTGCAGCAAAGATTTGTTCTCGCTGCGTGAAAGAATCTTGGATGATGTGTGATGCTGTGGGTAAAGAATGCGCTCCAACTGGTCAAGCTGCATGATATTCATAACCACTGTGGGCTGAACACACACATACACTCAGTGTCCCTGTGTATTTGAGTCAGAGTGAGACTTTAAAAACAAAACAAAAAAAAAAAAAACAATAACCCAGTGTACTTCATCCCCTGTTTAAAGATATATCTCACATTTTACTCTAAAGGGGTGATTTTTTATCTTCAAGTGTCTTAAAAAGCATTAGGACAATTTATGAGTGTCTTTTTCTTCCGAGTACAGCTGGACACAACTTGATAAAGTCTACAAACCCCTAAAAGCTTTAAAATAAATGGAGCAGGCTTAGCTGACACCGCAGTGTTCCTCCAGTTCGCCACTCTGTACCTTCACAGTGATTTCTTACCTCAATTTAACAGACGGCAAAGGAAAGTAAAAGGCTATTTGCCAGCAAAAAAAATGTTATACAATCGAGGATAACTAAACCTTCAAAAACGCAGGCAAGGTGGTGTAAAAAAAACAAAACAAAAAAAAAAACAAACCCAAAAACCCTTAGAAAGTCTTCTTTCTTTGTCAAACTGTACAGCGCTTGACTAGAGTAATGCACTTACAATTTCTCACTGTATCTAGGACTAGGTACTGTTCAATGACCTATTTAAGATTATATATAATATTATGAATTCAATATAATCCAGGCCTACAGACTGTGGGTGATCTTGATTCCCTCAACCTAGCCATAAGCCTGTCTTAATGGGCAAAACTTGAAGAGTGTAGTGGCATTTAGGCTGCACCCGGTCCACACACACAAAAAAAAAAAAAGACTTGACCCATTACCCACTTTAAGCCTACCTCATGAGTTTCTGACCACTGACACATTTGACAGCGCCAAGTTGCACATGCCTAAAGTAACACAGATTTTTGTAGTATTAGACCGTTTAGACATAGAGCACTCATTAGGGGGAAAAAAAAAGAAAAAAAGAAAATTTGCATAGCTAACTATGAGTAATACTAAGGGATAATGTACTTTTACATGCTAAATGATATGAAATATTCTCTTAGCTGTTTAAATCCTCTCTTCTCCTGCGTCTTTCTTTGCCTCTCCCTGTTTGTTCTTCTCGGTGCTGACATCAGCAATCCCATCTCCACGTTAAAGGCCCCGTTTTTCTCACGCTGTGGGCCAGACTGCCTTGCTAACCTCCAGACCAGATTGGAACAAACAGCCTCTCACTGTCTTCTCTCTTTGTGGTAGAAAGCAGAGCGGGTGGGTCGTCACTGGAATGCACTGACTTACACTGCCCAGTCCACCCAATTGGAGGTAACCAGGGCCTGACCACCAGTAACTACTGGGCTAATTGTTGTGCTTACAGCAATGAGGTGTAGAAACTTTTCCAGATTGTGCTCTTGTAAAGACTAATTACAGACAACCAGTTGTCACTTCAGTGACAATCTTTAACACAGATACTTTACATACATTTTAAAAACATTTCCAATACTTTTAAGACACTGAGTGTAATTATGTGTTAGACAGAGAAACACATTAGTTACTGGAGACAGCTCAGAATTCACATGACAAACAAGGCCTGTTACTCTGAAGCCACAAAACACAGGAAACATGTGGTCTGAAAGCAACGGGCAGAGAGGTATGTACATTTAACTTATCAAGCTAACCTAACAGTTGCACAGGGTCCAGCTTTGACTCATGGGCAATGTTCAACCCCCTCCACATTTTATTTAGGTCAACTACTAAATTCATTGTTGGTTTAATGCATGTATGCAATAAAGCATAATTACATTGTGTTTAGCAATTTTTAGTACATTAATTCTTTATTAAAACATGAGTTTGGCTTTGTTGCGTTACACCTCTGGTAAAGTTTTGACTGATCAGCAGTTCATTAAGTGTTAACTTGAATTTTAATAGCTTACGAGTTCTGTCATGCTTGATTTAAGGCTTACAATTCTAATGCTTAATAATTAACTGAAAACTAACAGAAGAGTCACAAACATGCCAAACTAAACATCTACATTTTGCACTTCTAGTAACCGCAATAATCTTTATCTTTAGCTTTAACACTGCCTTGTAATTCTTCAAATATTTAAAATCATGCCCCGACGTGAGGTCACCATTTGTCTTGGCCAGATAGAGTGGGAGATTACAGAGGGAGTTGAAAAGTTTACACTTGACCCAGTGTATGTGTGAGAAGAAGGAATGATTCAAGAGCAGGGGAAACATAGCTGAGATTAATCCTCATTCTTGTAGTATCATCAGGGTCATTTCTGATGCATTATGTCAGCCAGGGGTTCTTCTGTCATTCCTATTTAGGCAATAGACTCTTCTTATCACTATTTTTACAACAAATCTTGCATACAGAGGAGAAATATACTCAAGATAAAACTGTTGCAATAAAAACAGTTGTCACAGAGTGAAACGGAACATCCCACCAGCCGTTCAACATGCACAGTGAAAATATTTGTTTTGACCCTCTTCACTGACTGTTGAGGTTTGTGTGTCATGGCTTTTTTGGGTCCTGGTTATGAGTGGTTTTGAGAGGAAGACGACTGAAGTTCCTTTAGTGCATTATGCACCAATCTAATTTCAGCCTAAAATCATTGAAAAAGGTCGAATTTATTTAATTGCTTTGTTTTGTTTTTCTCCATCCAGATCATGTTAAAATGTGTAAAGATAGTGTGTCAGTGTTTGTGGTTAACCTCTTTGACAATGTTCAGCCAAAGAAAAATAAAACAAAGAGCCAGAGGGCAGCAAGTCTGTGGTTTGTCTGATTTGCTCATTCAGATTTCAGCATTACCTACCCAGAGTTTATTCTCATAATAGAAAGCATCAAGCAGCTTGACAATGTAGCGGTGGTCACATTTAGCCAAGATGTCAATCTCGACTATGTAATCTTCCAACTCTTCCTCAGATTTGGTCTCGATCACTTTGGCAGCAGCCAGAACTCCTGTCTCCTTGTTTCTGGCCTGTGAAAGGAAAACAGATCAATGTTAAATGAAACATGCATGAGTAATGGCAGACCTTTTTTTTAACTCAGTTTCCTCCCGTTTTTGTGCTCAAAGACTTTCAAAGCAAAAGTAACCAACCCTGTGAATTTAAGTGTTTCAGGTCTCCAGAGAGACCAATTTTTATCATTTAGTTATACAGAAAACATCAACAGTGCGGGAGGTTATTGCCAACATTTAATTTTTCATGGCCCATATAACAGGGAAAAATAAATAAATACACAGTATGACCAATGTTAAGATTAAGGGCCACATTTACAGTTCAAAGGCCCCCTTTTTGTTTGAAAATCTACAGTTGGTGATTAACTAAAGAGGTGCAGTGTCATGGCGTAGTCAGAGGTATTTTTCCAGCTAGCCATAATTAATACAAAATGTGTTGGTAGATGATTCTGTACATTTTCCACAGTACTTAAAATCATACAAATGTGAATTTTGCAACGTGCAATTTACAGTAAAATGTGCTAGGGGCGCATCTCATTTTGAGCCTCATGTGACTGTGATAGTTTCCCGTAAGAGTGGTAATTTATTTGGAATGTCAGGCGGTGAAATTATCAAAATGAGCTCATAATTGACAAAGATGGATGGCTCAAAGCTCGGAGCTCGGTGCTAAAGCATTAGCTCCGTCCTTAAATGAGTCTCTCAATGAGTTCTCACTCTGAGTTTCTAGAGACAGAACAATGCCTGAGATTAGGCACACAGCACAGGAACATCTAATGATAAATGAGGTTTGGCTTGGACGGTCTCAGTCGTTGTGTCCTTGGGCAAGACACTTCACCCGTTGCCTACTGGTGGTGGTCAGAGGGCCCGGTGGCGCCAGTGTCCGGCAGCCTCGCCTCTGTCAGTGGGGCCCAGGGTGGCTGTGGCTACAATGTAGCTTGCCATCACCAGTGTGTGAATGTGTGTGTGAATGGGTGGATGACTGGATGTGTAAAGCGCTTTGGGGTCCTTAGGGACTAGAAAAGCGCTATACAAATACAGGCCATTTACCATTTTTATAACCCTCCTTTGGATAAATGCTGGACTCTACCTGAGTTGTCAGTTTTATGCAGAGATAAGATGAGATGCTCAACAGCGAATTCTAACAGTAGAGTTTCTTATATCAAAAACATATTGATTCTCCTTCTCCAGTTGCCTCTCTTTTATTTGAATTACAGTTTCCAGAGAGAAACACATGTGTAAAACCTGAGCATACACTATATTATCTTACTCACTACCTTGTCAAGTCTGCTCATTTTTGGCAAAACTAATTTGCTCTGCTCTTGGTAGACTGCATTAATAATCTTTTTAAATGAACTAGCTGCATTTATAAATTAGTACGTAACTTTCCACTCCCATCAATGCACTGGGGAATCATGGTAACATGCCCTGCATAGTTTATCTGGCACCAAGAGTCTCAAGTCTTAGTTTGTTCAAAAGAGATAACTTTTATCACAATCTGTGCTGGACTTTATTGTCCATGCTGTAGCCAAACGGAAGAAGACACTCCAAGATCCACACGACAGCAATTAAAATGCTGACTAACATTTACAGGCAAAACTGGAAAGGAAGCTCCACACCCTCCCCTGAGCAACTGAAGAGTCAGAGGAACTGAAAAGAAGAAAATGCCACTTTAGCCAAACCCATCACACGCATAGACAAAGAATTCCTCATCGCTGTGAGTGGTAAAGAGAAGAAAATAAAGCAACAAAACATTCAAACGGTAGTGACTCAAACAGCATCAAACACATGACGCTCTCTCGTGTATGAGGCAGGCTTTTTTCAATGTGTTTCTACAGTCAGAAGTAAATATTCACTCCAATCATTGTTAGTGTTCAACTGGAGACAAATGAAGACTTAAAGTGAAGTCAACAACAAATAGCTAAAGGCGGGGTCATCTGCTACACCTCATTTAAACCTGCCCTAAAAAAATATCAATTCAATTTCTTTGCTGTAAAAATCTAATATCTAGGAAGTGATGGTTTCATCACGATCATGAATGTTGTCTGATTAATATGGTCAATGCATGTGCATATAATGAGCACAAGTGTTTGATTTTATGACTAAATAAGGAAAAAACAAAGAAAAAGTAACAACTGCCTATCCTGGTGAAATCTGGACCCTGTTGTGGTCTACATCCACCCAGTGGGGCCTGCAGAAACAGACTATATTAAGTCTGGTATCTGAATCCTTCATGGTTTACAGAGGCTGTGGGAAAACATCTGAACAAACACATGAGGTTCACAGCGACACATCCTCATCGCAGTACTCCTTGGACTATGCGCGTTTACCTAACAGAGCTCCGGAGAAGTTAAACTTTCACCAGCAGATTAACCTAAAGTGTGACTCAACAGGATGCGATCTCTTGCCATCAAACAATCAGTCTGTTAACAAGTCTCAACAGTAAACACAGACACCAAACTCTTGCAACTGCTTTGCTAACATTACAGCTCTCTGCAATAGCGCTGTATCAGCTTCAACAAAGTCACCATCTGGGGTCAGATTTCCAAAGAAATGCATGTTTTGACAAGCTAACAATTCCAACTACATGTCTGTGGAAAGCACATCTGACACACACAGTCAACACTGTGTGGGTAACCTTATTTTTAGTACAACAGATTTTTTTTTTTTAAGTTCTTAACTTCCTTGTACAAAATGAAACTCTCCAGACACTTAAGAAATTCGAAACAAGATATTTTATTCTCATTTAGTACAATTCTTCCTTGTCAGACCTGCCTTCCTTGTTAAGTAAAAGGTAACTTGAATTCCAGAAGGTTTATTGGAGTTCTAGTTACTAGTAGAGTGTAAAGTAAAATGATTCAGAGAAAGGTTAAACTTACACACTCCTTAAGCATTTTTTTAATCCATCTAGTCCAACTATTACCCATGTTGGGATATTTAAAATTCCAATATTTCCTTTTTTCAGATATTTGCAACTTCCCTGTTGGCAACACAAATGGAATATGTGTTTGGAATATCCCAACACACAACAATATCGCAAACACGACAACAGGGTAGACAAGAACAGTTGGGCAAAGCATAACCGAGTGAGCAAATAGCTAAACATGACAAATGTTAGGGGAGTCGGTGGAGTTTTTATGTGTTTGAAAGAAAAAGAATACAAATATTGACGAATACATTGAAACATTTAATGTTTAAGTCGAATATCCATATCAATCGTTTAATTAAAAAATAAAAAATAAAATCATACATCAGACAGACTCTGCTCAGAAAGGCCCGTCTCTCATGCACACATGCGGGCATGCACGCACGCACATACACACCCCTTTACATCTCAGTGGGAGCAAGGCAGAGGAATGTGCCTCTGGGCTTCAGCTGGTTGGGGGTAGACTCAATGGGCAGACTGAGAGAAGTGAGTGTCCTGCAGTTATGTGGTCCTTTTTGTGTGGAGTGAGGAATGCATTACGTCAATGAGGATCCTCAAGCATGGTATATAAACACAAACGTGTTTATATATGCACCTTACCATCTGTATACATTCCACTAAAAGGAACAAACATCAAATCTCAAAGGACAAGCTGAATTTCTGGAAACTAGCACCACATCAGTGCACAAGTGTACGCAGTCATATGTGCACGTTTTGGTGTATAAATGGTAATGTGCTTATTGCACCCAACTAAAAAATTGAAAATGTTTTCCACCACATCATCCCATATAAGAAGGATTGTACCTTTTTTTGCACTTTATGCAAGAAATATGACAACATTTTCTAACTTGTAACAGTTTTCCAACTTGCAACTCCTACACAACTCATCTGTTATAGAGCAGATGACACACACACTGATATCAGCTGGCCCAGGGGCCACCTACAGCATTCTTAACATGTTCACTCATGACATAACTAAAGTTCCTCCACTTTTTAAAAAGCATACTCGGGCACCAGATGTTAAAGTTGAATAGGGAAAAATATCACGCTTTATTGAAAACATAAATATCTAATTTATTACATAACGACGGCACACCCACAACCCCTTAAGGAGAAGAAATATAGTCAACTTGATACTGTAGCCGTTGCCATCCCACGAGACAACACTGTTTCAAACCCGATGACTCTTTACTTCCTCTGACTCTACTCCAGAGGAGAACAAATGTCTTAGGCTTTGTTTTGGTCTGGTTTCCATGGTTTCTACCTAAAGAACTTGTTTCTTGTCTGTCCTCATGGTTCAAAGCTCTCTGTCCGTTTTACCATTTGCTCTTGTGGCATTTCAACAGACGGCCTAAGCATTTGTTCACTTTGAATTTTGTAAATTCTGAAAATATCTGATTAAACCACACATCAACTAACAGACTACAGAATGCTGAGTTATTAACCTGGACCACAGACTTATAATTTGGGCTGTTGGGCAATTAAATACTGCCATTATTTAATCTGCAGATTAATTTGGTCTATTAAAAACCAAAGAGTTGCCAAAAAATATTTCATTTACTCCAACATTGCATAACTCCAAAGATTGCAACAGAGTTACCATTTGTGGGCCTGTTGCTATCAAATTCTTAGCATTCAGATTGGAAAAATTATTATTTCCCTATCAAAATAGTTTCTGGCAACCTTTAGATCAATAATATCTCAGAGACTGTGAAAAGAAAACATTACTTCTGCATCTTTTCATTTTCTTTATGTTTTTTTAATCAATCATCCACCAGCCTACTATCAGAGTGCCTCTGTACCCATCTTTCTGAAGGTGATTTAAGTCTCTCATATGGTTTTCAGTCTACTTAATGTAACACATGTGCAATAAACCCAGTCCATCCTCCTCATTTTGTATGCAAAGCTGTAAATATAAAATGTGTCTGCCAAACCTGCCTGACTTAGTTTCCCCATACTACTTTCTGAAGCTCCTGCTAGACAAAAGAATTAAAAAGGGGCAAGGACAGATGTTACTGTCCTGTGTGTCCACCTCCACACATACTGTAAGTACTGATAGACTAAGTAAACATAAACATACAAAAGCACACACTTCCAG